TTCCCGTCCTCGGCTTCGCCTCGTACGTGTAATTGGGGTTCCCTGTGTTCGGCTTCGCCTCTCACAAAAACTTGGGCGCGCGACGGAAAATGCCACTTTCGGTCCTAGTAATGAAATATACTATTACAATCTGGTCAAACAAATATGAGAACAATAAGTAAAACATTTATCAAAACAATGTCAGGAAGCAAGCACCTGTTCATCAACAAGTCTTGCCAAAAATTGGATCAATCATAAATATTTACAGAAATCTGTAGCTTAGGTCCAGCACATGCACAACACTTTTTAATCTGGTAATGCACTGACTATTGTCCAGCAGATTAACAGCAAGACTGTTCGGATGATATTCTAATTTGTCTTGATACTTTTTGCTAATGTCTGCAATTTCTTCTTTCACTGATTTAATTTTGAAGTCATTCCTAATTGTAGTGTTGGATACGAACCAAGGTGCGCCAATTCTTCTCAGTGCCTTAGCCTGAAATCGTTCAAGAATTTCGATGTTGGATTTGCTCGAGGTCCCCCAAAGTTGAATTCCGTATGTCCAAATTGGTTTGATCATAATTTTATACAGTACAATTTTCTTAGCCAATGATAATTTTGAATTCGTACCTAATTAGTAGCCAATTGAGTTTACAAATGTTTAATTCCATTTGCTGTCTCTTGCACCAGATATGAGATTTCCAATTTAATTTTTTGTCAAGAGTTAGACCTAAATATTTTACACTGTCTGCCTCCGTTAAGGCTACATATTATTAATGGTTACTGGAGGATTGTACTCTGTTCTCAGAGTAAAAACAATATGTTTGGACTTGTTTTCGTTGACTTTTATCATTGAGTATTTATCCTCCACTTTTTAAGCCAATATTGGAGCTCAGTCAAGGCTTATAAGAGTTATAACAATCAACGTTAGTAATTACATTGCAATGTATGAAGGGGGTGGTTGCTTCCAGAATTGCCTCCAAGGAACAACATGTAATATTTAACAACATAATGTAATATTTTATGTTACATTTGACAACAAATATTCGTAAAAGACAAATGGAATAGAAACCTATTTGATAGCTCTAATTTTTTTATGTATAGATTTGTTTTAAAAAATTAGGTTATCATTACAACAGCTGTTTCCTTAATTTAATTTAATCAAGAAATGACAAACATGGCATAGTAAACAAAATAAAACATTCTTCCATAAGATTAACATGTAAACTGCAAAGGGCCTTAGGACGCTACCCTTAAGGGTTTTTGAAACGGAAACAGGCTATTATGTTATTATAGTACCTAAGGAATATCCCTGTAAATTTTCATGCCAATTGGTTCAGTAGTTTTCTAGTTATAAACGCTGTAACTAACACAACTTTCTTTTATATATTTCTAGTTGGCCCGACAGACGTCGTCCTGTCCTAATGTGGTTTTATGTCAAATGTTCGTTCATTTTCAAGATGAGCATGTTCGCATGGCTCAATCACGTCTTGGTTGAAGTTCGTTCGCTACGCTCACTCACCTTTTGGTTGCAAATTAGCTGTTGTCATAAATTGAAAAAAATAATAGTGTTGCACCCTGTTGGTAAACCTATTAATTTCTTAATGCTAATGAACATCATAGAACTAAATTCTTTAGTTGAACCAGCTGTTAAGAATCTTTAATTCTATTTAAATATAAGTACTCATAAGGTCAACATGGGAAACTCCAGAGCCACTGGGGCGGAGCCCTTTTGACGGATCTGCACCAAACTTCACACAAACCATCCTTGAATAATGCTTAATAATAACTGAAAGTTTCATTACAATCTGTCGATCGGTTTCGGAGTCCATAAAGGACAAACAAACATACATTGGATTTTATATATATAGAAGATTTGTTATAGGCCTAGCTTGCTATTTAACAGTTTTGAGTTTTCAGCTTTCTTCTATTCTTCAAATTCGAGATTTTTTTATAATTAGAAAATAACATGGAAAATGCCCTTACTACAAGTTATCTTAAAGAGTAGCTCATGAATAGGCTTGGAAAGAAATTTGGCGCTGTTCCGTTCAGTAGTTAGGGTATTACGGTAGTCAACTTCAAAGTCCTTTTGTAAAACGTTTTGATCCACCCTGTAAATACGGTTAAAGATAATTAAATTTTTTTGCACAAAAATGATCGGGGTGATTAGACCTTTAAATTGATGTATCACACAACCCATGTTTAAATTTGAAAATTTCTCAAAAAGCACCCCTACCCCCCAAATAGGGCCCTTTTGGGACATTTTTCAAAATTAAAAATTATTTTATTGGATTTTGCATGTCCAAATTAGGGGGAAATAAGAACAAACAAGTGTAAAACGCCTTGCCTTTGCACACAACAGATATGGAAAGTTTTCAAATGAACACCTGTATATTTCAAATAAATTTATGATTGAAAACACTTTGGATGGATACCATAATCATCCTCAAGCTAAGTTTGGCCTAGGTAGCAAGTTTTAACTAGGTACCTTCTTACACGAAAAAAAACAGTATAATGAATCATAATACAAGTGTGACAAAATGTCAAATTATTGTAAAGCCTTCAAACGGCAGAACACATATTATATACACAAGATAGTTGATAATAGCATTGACAAATTTGAAGGAGACTGCAAGCGCCGTGAATAGAAGTCGTTCGGAGTTAAAAAAAGAACGACTCTCATTATACTCAACCGATCTGTTCAGCAAGAGCTGTTCACCTTCAATTTGAATCTCCCGCTCTTTGTCGATCTGTTTTGCTTGTCGACATTTTGCGTGTCGATAAAGTGGGAAAATTTACACAACCGTCCCACATAACAGACATCCCACATAACCGACATCCCACTTTACAGACATCCCATATTACCGACACTGTCGACATTTTGAGTTGTCGACATTATGGGACTATTTCAGTGTCGATCTTTTGGGATGTCGATAAACTGGGACCCCACGGAAACAAAACAGCTGTTACTTGCGACGTTGCCACTTCGAAGGCCGCGGCCTGGAGTTAAAGGCGGCCGTGCAACCACAGAAGAAATTAATAACAAGATAGGAAAATATTCATTACCCAAGTACTAGAGCACTGAGCTATAATAATAACTGGAGTAACCACTCTGTGTTTTAAAAACGTACCACAGTTTTTGCTGGTTTTGTTTCAGAGTTTCGTTTTGTTAGGTTGGCCGGGTGATCGGGTTGGTGGGACTTGTCCTTCGTCCTTGTCAAATTAGAGGCAAGATCAAGATGGCGTCATTCTGTTTTGTTGATACTGTAAAAACAAAACTCTGCCAACACAACATTATGATTGAAATATAAGTTTATTTATTTATTTTACGAGCAAGAGCAACTCATTTAAACAAGATCATAAATCGATAGTCGTTATTTAATCAAATGCCATAGGGCTATTGGCCTAAACCAATATCTCCAAACCAGGAAATTTGACTAGCCTATTTTCACCACATAGCTTGAAAAGAGGTAAATAAGTTAGTATTTATTTACTATCAAACAAAACAATATATAATGTTTCAAGTAACAGATACAGAGGTTTTAACGTGCAATAACTTAAATAAGTTGTTGATACAAGCATTGACTATATAACACTACATACAAGTCCTTGAAATAACATAACCCCAAATAAATAGTATGGTTGGTTAGGTTAGAATGAATTGGAATTATTTGACAGCATCCCACCAACCGATCACACGGCCAACCTAACAACACGAAACACCAAAAACAAAGCAGCCAAAACTGTGGCACGTTTTTCTCCAACGTTTAACCAGAGAGTAGTGACTCCAGTTATAATCTATATCTCAATGTACTAGAGACGCATGGCTGTAATCAGAATCAGAATCTTTGTCTTTAAACATAATATGGTACAATGTAATAGACAACGTCAATTGATCACAACAAGATGATCAATACAAAGTTAAAAATACAATACTATTTGTCAATCAGAACATCAAAAGTGTACAGACTTAATTGAAAAATATTCTGACAAGTCATAGAAAGGATTTAGGCTTAGCCACTCATACAGTCTAAGTTTGAATAACTTAAATTCTAAAGATTTGCTTTCAGTGTGCAACCTATTAAACATTTTTAGACCAATAATCGCAAAACTGTTTTTACACTTACTTAGCCTACTGTATGGTATATCTAACATGAACTGGTTTCTGGTGTTACATTGGTGAATGTCTGATCTGTGTACATATAAGCCCACATTTAAATTCTTTTTTACATACAACAAACACAAAAATATATACAGGTTTATCACAGTCAGGATCTTACTTCTAATAAATAAAGGTTTGCAATGTGCTCTGAATCGAGCCTTGTTCATTACCCTTAATGCTATTTTTTGTAACAGCAAGACTTTATGTACATGGCAGCTATTTCCCCAGATAATTAGGGCATAAGATATCACAGACTGAAAATATGCAAAGTAGGATGTCTTTGCATAGGTTTCTGGCACAATACCAATAAGAGATCTTAACAAAAAGATAACTCTAGACAACTTTATACCAACTGAATCTACATGTGGTAACCAAGATAGAGAACTGTCTATTACTAATCCTAAAATTTTAATTTCATGGTTTTCAGTTTGGTTAACATTAATTGACTTAAGACTACAGATCAGATTCTGGGTTTTATCTTTGTTTAAAAGAAGACTGTTAGAACTAAACCACATAGAGGCCGTGTCGAGAGTTTTTTTTTACAGATTAGTTTTAAAGCTTCAAAATCAGGATGAATACTTATAAAAGTAGTATCATCTGCAAACATTATACTGGATGAATCATTTACATTATTTTCCAAGTCATTAATTACAATAATGAAAAGGAGTGGCCCCAGGACGGACCCTTGGGGGACACCACCATACCTAACTTCAGAAAAATGTAATGTCTTGCTGCTAAAGTATGCTTGTAATGGCTTGCCGTTTAGGCCCAAGAAAAAAAGTCTGATATCCCATCACCTTCTGGCTTCTGGCTGTCAGAGTCATATGGACCAGTAACAGTCTACCAGTGTTGTTGTGTTGAAATAAATAGAACTCCTCCTCCTTGTCGTAAATAATGAAATTGTGAAACTCGAGGTTTGATGTTTTCTTTTTAGATTTGATATAACGATTTGAACCTTTAAAATGAATTAAGTTTTTTTAGTGTATCTTATTTGGGTAAATGTAAAACAGTTGCAGAACAAAACAATGTATACCTACCTAACTTCTGTAGCCTGAAGGGAGCAATACAGAATATTCAAATAGCTAAACCAAATTAGAAAACCCATCCAAAATAGCAGTATAGACACACATTTTTATTGCAGTTTGATAATTTTTTCATTCCATTAAAGTTTTCTTTCTTAAACTAACTCAGAAGGTTCTACTAATATTCACAGATTCAGAGGGACTTTCCAGATAAATCAAACCATAAGAGTTGTATTATGACAACTACCTAACCAGATTGTCTCTATCACTAATCACTAATAAGTTATCCATTTCATTTTCAATATGGATACTCCTAAAACTTTGAAGAAAGGCTTAGGTTTACATAATCTTGAAAGTTCAATATTTTGTCCTAAATATGAAAAACCATTGAGGAAAGCTTTTTACAATGGAGTCGCTTTACTTTTGATCAGTGCTTGCAGCGTTTTTGCTTGGGGTTCTTTCATTATATTAGAACCCTTTTTGAAACCTTTATTCTGGGCATTATTATGTGGATCCGTTCTTCATCCCCTCAAGTACAAGTTGTCGACACATTTCAAGACATGGATAATTTTGGCAGAAGATACTGACTTTAAGCTACCTCTTGTAGTTAGCATACTATCCTTTCCTCTACGAATCTCACTGGAGTTGTCAGAATTCATCGGAGATTCTATATGTAAACACTGGAAAAAGATAATTGTCGGAGTTTTGTTTATGTGTGTCAGTGGGGTCATCTACAATTACACACCTCAAATACTTATTTGTTTATCATGGAAAATTCTCAAGGTCTTGGTGACTGCAACCATGTTTGTGACAGAACTGTTTAAAAGCTCAACTTTGGTGAGTAATTGTCTTAACTGTAGTTAACTTAGGCCTAGTATATACAATTTGTTCAGGCCTAATGAACATAGGCCTTTAATTTGGAGTTGCAGAGATGTTTAAATATTATTAGGCCTATTATCATATTGACCAGCAACTAAGGAATGACTTTTAAGTTTAAGTTAATACAGGGTGTGGCAAAAAACCTATCTATTTTCTGCAGAGCACTGTTCAGCGATAGGTCATCCGAGAGTGGTGGGAGTAGGCTCGTTGGAAAGCCTACACAATGCCATTTTTTGTAGTCATAGAGCAGTGGTCGCCTGAGCTAGTGCGGTTGTTATGGAGTTGTTTTTATAAAATAGTGAATTCATTCGTTGCAACTCAGCGGCAGTTTCATGCATTCTTTCAATTGGGCAACATAAAGAAGTTCCGTTGCGTAGCACAATAATGTGGTGGCCTACTTACTTTAGGACAACTGCTTCTGGGTTGAAAATGAAGCTGACAGGCCTTCTAAAGTTAGATCGGACGCCAGACAACAAACATTCGATAGAGTTCGCTGCTGTGGAAAACAGTTCTTGTAGGCCCGCCCGAAAACAAGCGGCTGCCTTGAACATGTTTGAACACTCAGTTTTACGAATTTTGAAGTTAATTTTCATCCCTATGGATTAGAATAATAATCTGTATAGTTTGGTAATCATCCATACAGATAATCACAACGGAACCTCTGTATGTCGACCTAATTGAATAAAAGCGTGGAACTGCTGCTGAGTTTGCAATGACTAAATCATTACTTTTTTAAAACGACTAGATAACAACCGCACGTAGCTCATACGACCACTGCTCTATGACTACAAAAAATGGCATTGTATAGGCTTTCCAACAAGCCTACTCCCACCACCCTCAGACGACCTGTCGCTGAACAGTGTGCTGCAGAAAATGGATCGGTTATTTTCCCACACCTTGTATAAGCTTAGACTAGCAATAACATAGGCTACCATACACAGCTTAGGTAATACCATAGCCGTCTCTAGTAATAAGGCCGCGGCCTTCGATGTGTCAACGCCGCGACTCATCCCCACCCTGGTCCAACTCCGGGTATTGTCACCAGCGTAAACGTGCAACATTTCGCCAAAACTGCGCTTAATCACATTGAAAAAAACTATGAAAATTGAACAAGTTCAATATATTAATTTTTAGCATGAAATGCCGCGTAGGCTACAATGTTTCAGATTGTATTACAAAATACTAATTGATACATGTTTATACAAACGTTTTATGTTATATTCACCACTTAATTCCAACCCTGAATATATGTTGCGCATAATGCACAAGCGATAGCCTATACATCTATAATATTAAAATGTAACAGGGTTTTTTTATTTCACGATTCTGAATCAACCACTCGACGGATTTTCATGATTTTTGTGTTGAAAGAAAGATAATTTTGAGAACTAGGGAATGTCAAAGCCATAATTTTAGTTTAGGGTCCCAGTTATTTAGAAATTAAGTTTTAATTTTTGAAAAGTCTAGCAGCCGACTCTAAGATTCTAAACTAGCTTTTGGTACCTATAATATAATTTGCTTAACATAACAGCTGTAAACATTCGGCGTTTGTAACACAAATTCAGCATTTGGATAAGATTAAAAGGCATACTAAGGGTTGACTTATTTATACTATGTGTAATGCTAATCATTGATACGTTCACTCCTTCGATAAGAGGATGACAGATTATTTAAATATACATAGTAAAATACTAAGATGTTCAAATTATTCTCTTAAGTAATCTTTGTAATCTTCGGTTTGTTTTAGTGCAATATAATTTGTTTTAACTAACAGCTGGTCAAATATAACACAATGCTCTATAGAACTATGAGGTTATTTTATTTACTCTGATTTTGTCATAGATTATAGGAAATAAGTAAGATTAGTAGACCACCGAGATAAGTAACACCATCGATCCACAAGTCCAAGTCGGGGCTCTGTTCACGAGTCTTAAAAAAAGGATATGCAAATTATTTTACTGCTAAATTGTTTTAGGAAAGGGTTGGAAAATCACAATTTTTAGGCTACATGTTTAAATTCATCTTGGTGGCTTTTTGTTTACAATCAATTTTTTTGAATGCTTAAACTATGTTTGGATTAGTCCCGGAAATGTTGTTGTCATAAGGAAGGAGATCAAGATTCCTCAGGAATACGATTTCAAATTACTACCACAACCTCAGACGTATTTTATCCAAAGATATCTGAATGACATAGATTGAACACAACGTCATCATTGACCTAGGATACTGCAATTAGACTAGGTAACCATCCTTTTATGAAATCTAAAAAGTTGTTTGATGGCGTGTGTTTAGTTGTGGTTACGTTTGGAGGCGATGACTATTTTATAGTTTAAATAGGCTAAATGGATATGGGGAATTACGATGTACATTGATTCAATGAGGGTAGTTTAATTATCAAGGATATTAGAACTGACAACGGAATGGATAATAAACATAGACAATTAATTACGTCACTAGCTTTACTAGCTTGTTTACGTTTTAAATTCCTTCAACATGTGACCAGTTCTTATTTTCAAATGAATATTATTTTATTTTTGACTCAGCTGTTTACAAAACAAACTATATGTTGTTGTTTTTACTTTTCTTTGTTTACACTTATTTATGTAGCATTGATGCAGTGAAATTGATATATAAAGGATGTGTGTGGACGATTCGTTTAATGATGTCAGAACTCCAACGTTATAATTATGTGTACTGTGAATTTTATTGGATGTTTTTGTTTTATTTTAGGGAGTTTCTATTCAGACCGACCGGAAATTGTGTATAGTGTGAATAATTGTTTTGGGGTGATATTGATTATGTAAGAGGCAGGTATACGATGGAATTGGAAGGTGATATCGTTGACTAGGCCTATACACTTCTCAATTGATAATTACTCTTTCTACTGTAGGCTGCAATAAAATTTGTCTTTATACGTGTAAGCTAGCTATTCTGAATTATACAAAGTTTTAACTGACTACTCCCGTACGTAGGACGGGCTAACACCTCGTTTGTAATAAAAACGGAACTATTTTGGAACCTAATGAGTTTATGAAAAAATATACTATTACAAATAGGCCTAGGTTTCCCCGGACATTCTTTTAAATTTTATTATGAACTGGTCGTCTAGTGGTCAAAAACTCAACCAAAAATATGTAATGTTCAGACTGTTTTTAACCCACGCTGTAAATAAAACGTGTTTTTGGAATTTCTTCCATTTGTTTTGATTTTCTGTTCATTTCGTTGTTATTTTATTTTGTCACCAGCATGGCAGCCCATATGAATTTTTGTGCTTATTTTTGAGTTTATTGACATTTTATAGAGGGATTCTGTACACCTACAGGCAAATATCTTTCTAATAGTATGCATAGATTTTCTCTGCGATACACACAAGCTGGGGAAAAAAGGGTTTAAACATGCCTGCCTATTAATATATGGATTATATTATAATTTCAAACTTAATTGCGAGATATGCAAAGCTGTTTTATATTTAAAATTTTTGCCATTGAATGCTCATGCAGAACTTTACTAAGGTCTAGACATATACAAATATTGGTACACCTTTGACTAAATGCATTGAAAAGGTAAACAATACATGCATATTAAAATTTACTTACAAAACACAACTGCGCAAAACTTTGAAAACATCTTAAAAAATTTAAACTATCAGATAGACGATAAAACAATTTTTTTAACTATATTTAGAATTTTGTATTTCTGCTGCCAATATTATGTATGGACAGGTGCCTGCCACAAAACCGCCATGGAATTAGTAACGCTAGAAACATTTGTTTTTGTTGAAAATAAAAAATAAAAATAGGGTTATATAAATTTTGTTTGTTAATTTTTGTGTATCAATTGGACCTCGACGACAAGTTTGTAAACTTGGCGAGGCCAAGATGTTGTATTATCATAAATAAACGTAGGCCTATTTGAATATGAATTTTAATTTGAACCAGTATCAATAGTGTATTGATTTTTTATATTGATGATACATAAGAGGTACAAAAACTGTCTGTGAATACTATTACTATTAATACTCAAGTTTTATATTTTTTGTCCAATATTTTTTACGTTTAGATATAATAAATTAGGAAATGTGTATTTTCTTAATCAGAACGCGGTACTTAATTAAGTTTAAATGTAGGCTATAGCTCTAACCCACTAATCTCGACGCGGAACTTCTAGAGGGAAGTGTAATAATTGTATACCTACTCTTCAGTTTTTAATGCTTTTCGGTGGTTAATTTTGCATCATGGCATGATACACTTATGAGGGATAACATACTGTCACTACGAATACCATATTGTCTCTAATTGTGTAAAACAAACAGGTTAATCACTGGTGATTCGCCGTCTATCTGTGCAAACTAATGGCGGGAGGCGGCTGGACTATGCCTCGGATGCGACCATGCCAGATTTCACTCGCCGCGGCCTTATACTAGAGATGGCTATGGTAATACTCCTAACACTGACTTTCGGTCCCATAGAGCTCCTTTCAGATAGTTAAGAGGAATGAACTGAGACTAATTGCATATAACTTAAACCTAACTTAGTTCTTATTGAGGCATGTCAGGGTGGTGGGTCAAGCTTTATGTGAATTCACGGGGCTGTATTTAGTGTTTTGAAGTTAGGTTAGATTAGGAAGGTAAAGTTTAAAACACTTCTAAGTAATATAATTAATTACCTTGTCACAGCTCTGTAGTTTCTGTATATTACGGCCGTTTCGGTATCAAAATGTCATCATCAGATGTGGTTATCCACCAGATTGGGCGTTGTCAGTGTATACACACATCTGATGATGGCATTTTGATGCCGAAACGGCCGTAAACAAACCTATTTTCACTGGACTATCAGTTTGAACCACAGAAAACATCCTACTATAACCCAGAATGCCAACCGCATGGTAAAAAGCGTTAAGTACTTTGAGAGAGCTTTGCCTGCCAATTCTTAGGCAGCGCCACCAATGTTGCTATTCACTCAGCTATGCGCTGCCTACGAATTGGCAGGCAAAGCTCTCTCAAAGTACTTAACGCTTTTTACCATGCGGTTGGCATTCTGGGTTATAGTAGTATGTTTTCTGTGGTTTGAACGGTAATAACAGTAATAAGGTTTCCTGTTTTCTAGTAGGCTACTGTATTCCAACCACTAAAACAAACAAGCAGATCTAAACCTCAATAGTGTAGCTTATAGTTGGAATGCTTATAAAATGGCACAGTTTTCAACATATTTTGCTACCTTCTTATAGGCCTATACATGGTGGAGAAAAATGCAATAGACCAGATTTTTATTTTATTTTTTTATTTTTATGATATAACTTAATTTTTATCTTTGGAACTATTTACAATGGATCATCCATAATTTTCTATGATCCTTATTCAAAATTGAATGTAGAACATGAAAATGACATCATATACTTAAATCCATTTAGGCTACATGTAATAATTGAGAAATTGCTGCATTGTGTTTGAAAGACTCCTGCTGCAGCAAACCTGCCTACTAAGCAAATTTCCATTTGCCTGAATTGATTTTCAATTAATCTAATAAATTAACATTTATGTTTAACGAGTACCTAGGTTAGCTGCTACAGGGAAACTAATAAAGTTTGTTTTTTTATTAAAATATCAATACTGTAGCTTAGTATGAAATAAATAAATCCGCCAAGTTTGATCAAAATATATCCATAAACAATCCAACTACAACATTTTATAATATTCTCTATAAGAATAACATGGGAATTTTAAAATTTTTTTTGAATTTTCTCCATAAGCAATCACCGTACAAAAACACTTTGATATACTAATGTATTTGTTTTTTTAAGCTCTTTAAAAACGTCTGAAGAAAAATTGATAGATTTTGTGTTTTAAGGGTAAAAAATGAGAAAAACCCACTTTTACCCCATTCCCATTAAACCCCATTCCCATGGTCCGATCATGCTGGTTCGCGAACTCATTCAAGTTTATCCCGCCTTACACCTTCAAACCAAATTTTATCAAAATCGGAAAAAATTACTTGAGTTATCATCTGGATGGACATATACCTATACAAATTTGAACGAATGGAGTTTTTGGCCTCTGGGACATCAAAATGAAAAAGTAAATCGGTCCCGGGCTTAGGTCTTACCATGAGACCTACGGTAATGGTAATAGCTACTTCTTTATTGGGAAATTTGCTAAAAACATGGTCATTTTTGAAAAACTTAAAATTCTTTGGGAAGCAAATTTTTAGACTTGGAACCCCTTTTACACTGAACCCTTGGATCACACTGAATTTACTTTGTAGGCCTACTTAACTTACACCATCACCATTAAATTTTTTTAGCACTGATGACCAGCCACCCTGTACTATAGGGGACGAGTTATTGTTTATAATTAGATCATTTTATTTGGTTAAAAAAGTTTTTAAATGACTAAAATAACAAGAAACAAATTGTAAACAAAACACAACCTCTAGTGCACTTGACAGAACTAACAATAAAATTGGCTTCAGCTGTTCCGTAAGGATCAGAAATCTACTTAACGGAGTATGTTTTATCTATGGTTCAGGTGAAGGAAAGAGAGTATATATATCATGAGAAGAACGCCGTTGATTAAAAAGATTTGCATTGACTTAAGAAATATTTCAAGTGATTCTGTAGTCAAAAATGTTTCCTTTAAAGGGAATTTCGTTACATTATGGAGAATAGATGGACTGGCGTACTAATTACATGTAGTTCTTAATTAGGCATGTCAGGGTGGTCGGTCGAGCATAATACAAATTCTTGACGCATTAAGTGTTTTGAAGTCATGTTAGATTAGGAAGGTAAAGTTTAAAGGTTATATAGTGAATCGAATTGTTGGTTTATGTTAACTACCTTCAGACTGTTTTTGTACAATTAAAACCCTAGGAAAAACACCATAGAGTACTATTTCAAAAATGCTTGAATAATTTTTGCTGTACGTACTCTATTAAAAAGTCAGCAAGCAATACCTAGGCTATGTTTATTGTGAATATTGAATTTTCAGGTGGTGACGTTAGTATTGGGTTTTCTAATCGCTTTGACTATGTGTTGGGATCAAAAGTATGAAAACAATTTTATCAAGATCTCTTACGCTGTGTGGTTTGCTGTATCTGCACATATAGCTAGCTACTTCTACTACATAGAAATACCTACATTTGCCTTCTTCCAGTTGCTTTTTATATTTGGGTTTTTCCTTTCAAACCAAGAATCTACATTAAAAAGTGGTAAGTAATTTTTTATTCATAAACTATAACTTTGAACCTTTCATTTGCCCGTCCTCATAGTTTTTTGGGTATTCAGCAATGTAAGGGATGAGCCGATAATAAATTACATTATGATGAGCACTACGGTAATAAAATGTAGTGGTGGGCATCATAATGTAAATCCACAACACCCCTTTGTTGTCTTTTAATGTAGAAGGAGAACTAGTTGGTTACACTGTTCAAAACAAATTCAACACAGAGCAGTAACACAATTATGTACCGTACCTACATACATCCCGAAGAGGGCAATGAGAACAAGCAGCCAAACCAGTTTAGATAACAAGAAGTAAGGCAAGTTTGGGGAAGGGAAGCTGTAACTCCATGGCAATCACAAAAACATCAATCTTGAAAAAATTGAGATGTCTATTGAAATAAATAAATTAACCATAGACACTTCTATCATGTATTCAATATGCATGACAGTATTTCTTCTAATTTCCTTTTCTGTGACAGAGCCTTTGAATAAGTATACGGCAATTCAATCCAAAAGATTATTTTAAATAATCTTAAATGTGAGGGCTTGTTTAATTACATTCTTGTATAACAATTTTTAATTTCTGATCTCTAAGCTTGTCTGTGCATAATTTGAAACTGATTTGTTGGTTTCAAATGTTTAATTGCTTTTGACTAAAATTTAAAAACCCAACCTTTTGTACTGCTTTTTGTAGATGACTCAGTAGTTGGAAGCGTTTCGTGTGCAGAGGAAGAACAAGATGCTAAGGTAATTTTCTTTTGTTATTATCTTGCTTTAATTTCAATCAAATATGAATATTTGCTATGGAAAGTATTGATTAAAAAAATATTGATTGTCGTAGTCCTATTACAGTAGGTATGAATGTAATTGTAAACGTTGTTCTCGGTCAAAATTAAATAGTAGCCTAAATGTCCCCTGCATTTGCAGTGAAATCGGGAAAGGTTCATACATTTACAGTAAAATAATAAAGATCATCGGCAATTGCAGGGAAATCATTATCATCTCTCACAATCTTAACGAAATCGTGAACACCTTATGCGTTTGCAGAGACATCATCTAGTATATCAATCACATGTTTCATAATTATTCAATATCCTATGTTGGCAATAAGGAAATATCTATCATTTGTTATTATTTACAATTAGTGTTAAATAAGTCATCAACAACATTACAAATTTTTTATGAATCAATTATTTACTTGTGTCCCTGTTGCTCGAATTCGAACAATTGCTAAGTATTACAGGCGTTATTTTAAAATGAATGACAGTCATAATTTCTGATAACTTTAAAAGATTCGACGCATTATTTCTATTTCTTCTCCTTGGTGGTGTTCTATGACTTTCCTATGTTTCCAGTTTGCAAATCGGCTCTTTCAATGATTACTAAGACATGCAGCACAGTGTTAATTTAGTTTTCTTTTGAGTATATCAATTTATCCAGGCTCTCTCGCTTTTTTCCATTGTAATATTTACGCCAACCCAAATTCAAATAGTAATCATCATTTATTTCGACCAAGTCTGTAAATGTTTGTAGCAAACTGTTAAATTAGAAAACTTATTGACTGTACAATTAACATATGTTCTTCTTCTCACTTTTAATTTATGACAACAGCTGGAGTTTCATAACAATGTTTGTTTCCATGTTAATCTTATGGAGAAATACGGAACTTTAAAGGGCCCCAGGGCCTCACTCTCTAATTATTTCCCTAAAAAGAAAGTTTCCTGCACAACTTCACGTTACACTCTTTCCAATGACACCAAAAACATGTCAATCGGTTCAGTAGTTTCGGAGTAGTAATTGTCACAAAAAACCTGCTTCCGTATTAAATAAGTATAGATTGTAAAATAAATCTTTTCAAATGAAGCAACATTTTTCTATTATCAAACTCAACAAAATACGAGTGCACACACAAGGTCACGACAAGTTGATTGGCAACGAGTAAACCTCAAGTGAGTGATTTTTACTGTACCTATGAAACATTACCTGTAAGCAATCTAGGCCAGGACTGTCAACCAATTTTTTCATCTAGCTGCATTTCAATGATCAATTAGAAACATTTCAACTGTTGAAACTGACGCTGTGAAACCACATTGACTTTTTCTCGGAAGAAATGGCAGTAGGATGTAAACATACCATTAATCACTGTCACTAGCCAGGCCTGGTTATATAAAAAACAATCTGAGTTATATTTCACATAAACTATTGGCCAATTAATCAGAAGTCTGCCAGGGAGTAATATGATTTCCCCAACAATAATGCTTTATGTATAATATCTATTCGTTAGCTAGAATCTAACAGTAGAAGTTATTTCCAGTACTTTTTAAAAACTAATGAATATGATAGAAGTTAGCCGAAAAAACTAACTAATATCACTAATCGATAGAATTTCTCCCAGTTTTTCCCAAGTATGTATATATCTTGCCTATATTAAATATTCTCAATAAATCTTTTTTCCAGGTTAATACAGTTAAAGCCCCTCCCTGCGATCTGACTGTCATACAGAGCCCTCTGGCTTCAAAACCGATGTAAGCTCATTCTATTATTTAATATAACAATAGGTTTAGAAATCTTTACTCTTTTTTAAGCTTTTATTTAATGTTGCAAGCTTATGTACGAGCTAAAACCATTTAAAGTGCAAAAATAGTGTTTTTTTTTGCCATGATCTGATTATGACACTACAAGACCATAAAATGTTGTTACTCTCCAGAACAAGCAAGGTGCCGCAATTTATGGGCTTGTGACCAAGGATATTTATAGGAGTAAACCCACAGTCATGGACTATAACCTAGCTTTCAAGAAATTCACAGAGGAATTCAAAAAGAAAAACTGCAAAAGACTTCTTTGTTCTCCATTGGGCTGTGTGAGGGACAAAATATCACTAAATATTTTCTCCAAAAATATAGTGGATTTCCACTACATCACTGGGGCAAGGGTGGACATAATTGCTCAGAAGGAGAAACCAACAAAAGTGCTAAAGAATGGACTAGCATATGAAACATTTTTAGCAATGCTACGGAGCTGCATCACAAGAGAGATGAATTTAAGAGTTTCTGCGAGCCTACCTGAAGATGCTCAGACTCTATCTCAGAAGAGTGTCAAAATAGCAAGTACACCTGTTGCTGTTCTACATGACCACCCATCTAAGGAACAAGTGAACTGTAGTAATGTCATTGTTAAATATTTAGTAATTCAACTAAGGACATTTAATAAAATATTTATTTAATAACATATGAACTATATACAGTCAAATATAAACAATTAATCAAGTAGTATTAACATTCAAGTCAAGTTTTTAGTTCAGTTATTGAAAGGATACAACAGCTGATATGATGACATCACTGTCCAAAGTTCACTACAGCACTTCGTACTAGTCAGTTCAGTTTAGACTCACCTCTCTCACAGTACACAGTGCTTACCTTTTGGTTTAGTTCATATTAAATATTTTAATCTCTCTTTCTCTCTTACCGCTCCAAGTGCATTATTTCATCATTTCTCATTTAAATATGGATTCCAAATTTATAGTACCAAGTGTCAAGCTAGGATCCAAGAAGATATTTTTATTTAAAGTAAATGTGTTGTAAATTTTCGTGTACAGTCCAGAATATTCATGAGTAGTGAATTGCTTTCTTTTTATTAATGAAGAAGAGTTTTAATTTAAATCAGTGAAGAATTACATACTACACAACAATAGTCATTACTCAACATCATCTTTCATCTGTGGTCCTTCGATTCTCGTCACTCTGGCCAGAGCCATCGCTTCTCTGCTCATCTTGTTCCTGTTCTACCAAAACCCTAATGGATCTTCAGTTTTAGGATCTAAAGGTATTTCTCACAATTTTGCCTCTTAATACCATATTTAACATGGTCCTTCGAGCCGGAAGTTTCCCAGCCTATGGAAAATAATCTACTGTGACTATTAAGTTTTGTATTTATTTGAACTGAATAAATTAATTGAATAAATCTGTCATCAACATTAAGTATCATTAACAAGAGGATTAAATATTTTTGATCACATTATTATCAATTTATTAAATTGTTGCAGTAATTTGTGAAATAACACATAAAGTTTTGTTGTCCCAGACAGAAAATTTTGTTCTCAGACTGTACTGTCTACAACTCCTGTATTTTCATGCATAGTTTGTCTATTCTCTATTGTGCATTATCGGGCTGCATCCTGTCTGCCCCCCTCTCTCCCCCCTGTAATGTGAAACAAGTTTCTCTCTTGTTGCTGAATATTCAGAAAATCATGGAAGTCATACCAACTTCACAGCTGATCAACACTAGCGCTGCTGATGGATAGAAATGAAAACTTAAATGTCATTATGCAAGACTTTGTTTATGTTTTCATAACCTCAATTGTTTGCTTACACTTTTAAATTAAAGTGACAGAAGAATGTTTATTAATACGGATTGAACATTTAATTACAGATTGTGTTTGAAATAACATGTTTTATTGAATTTCAAATTTATTATCTGGAAATAATTGCAGGTAGATATTTTCTGGGACTTAAACTTTTTATAGGCCTATACTATGGCTGAATATTTCTCTCTGATTTCAAGTTGACTAATATTAATATTTAATACAATGAATCCTGGCTGTCTTTAAATAAGTTTTGCTCATTATAAACTTATTTTAATCTGCATTTATTTTTATTTTGGAATTTTATTGAATTTAAGACTTATTCAAAATGAGGTTCTCAACTTTTGTGAAGCAATCTGAGCTTGTGCTAGCCAGGCTTAAGTCAATTGAAGCAAAAGTGCTTGCTATCGAAAAGGAACCTATCACTCCTCAACTTATAACAAAGCTCACTCTTTTGGATTCCACCGCTACAGCCAAAAATAATGATTTTGACAAATTAGTGAATAAGTTGTTCGGCACTGTGCCTTTACCTGAGGAATTAGATGAAAGTGAAAATATCACTACAATTTCAACATTACAAGATGAAATAAGTGATCTCTATGTGTCTATTCACTCTTTGTGTGTGAACTTGATACCTTCCCCAAGCTCTAACCAGTCGAGCCAGCCAAACCTGGATGATTCCAATGCAGCTATCAGCCAAGTAGCTACAACTAAGGTTAGTGTACAGCTTCCTAAACTTCAACTTGGTACCTTCTCAGGTCAACATGAAAAGTGGATGGCGTTCAAAAATTTGTTTGAAAATACTATTCATAAAAATGATAGTATTTCTGGTGTTGAAAAAATGAGTTATTTGTTAAGCTGTCTTGAGGGAGAGGCACTTTCAGTTGTTAAAAACATCCCTATGACTAATGCTAATTATTTTATTGCATGGGAATCTCTACTTAAAAGGTATCAGAATACAAGATTACTAATCTCTCTTCATGTCAACAATGTGTTAGACTTACCAGTTCTTCACAATCCCTCAGTGAAGCAACTTAGAAGGTTTTTGTCTGTTTTAAATGAAAACATTGAAGCACTTAAAGCTCTAGATGAAGAAATTTCATGTTTGAAATCCAATAAACCTTGCTCTGTACGCATTAGACGCCTAGCTCCTTATCTGGATAAAGATGGCCTCATTCGAGTAGGGGGAAGAATAAACAAGGCTGATATCTCTGAAGATCACAAACACCCCGTCTTGCTACCTAAAGGTCATAGGTTAGTTGATATTTTGATTGACCACCATCATGTCTTATATTTGCACTCTGGTCCAACTCTAACTCAGGCTATGCTGGCAAACAAGTACTGGATTCTCAGTGCTAGAAGCTTAATAAGATCTAGGATCTTTAAATGCATAAAATGTTTCAGATGTAAACCTCCTCATTCTTCTCCACTCATGGGGGAATTACCTATGAATCGAGTTACACCTTCAAGGCCATTTTCCATATCTGGTGTAGATTATGCAGGACACTTCTTTGTGAAGCAACATCTACTAAGACGAGTTCAACCTATCAAGGTTTATATTTGTATATTTATTTGCTTCTCTACTAAGGCGGTACACATAGAAGTAGTAACCGACCTAACAGCGGATGCCTATTTAGCCGCTCTTACCAGATTTGTCTCCAGACGAGGAATCGTTTCAGATATTCACTGTGACAATGCTACAAATTTCACAGGTGCATCCGAAAAACTCAGACGCAACTTTGAAAATTTAATCAAGGATTCCACAGTACAATGCTACGCTGAGAATTTCAATATTAAATTTCACTTCTTACCTCCACATGCACCTCATCAGGGAGGCCTTTGGGAGAGGGCCGTCAAAAGTGTGAAATTTCACCTAATAAGAGTCATTGGACAACAGACCCTGTCACTGGAAGAGTTTTCGACTTTAATCACCCGTATTGAAGGAATGATGAACTCTAGGCCTATAACTCCTCTTTCTTCTGATCCCTCGGACCTAGAAGCTTTGACGCCAGGTCATTTTTTAGTAGGTGGTCCTCTTATGACACCTCTTGAACCTGACTTGCGTAGCATTCCTATCAACCGATTAAAACGCTGGCAGTTAGTCCAACAGTTCAGTCAACATATCTGGGCTCGCTGGCAGAAAGAGTATCTGTACACTCTTCAAGAGAGAAATAAATGGGTCAACCCCAAGAAGAATATTGAAGTCAATGACTTGGTTGTCATTCATGAAGACAACTTGCCTCCACTCTCCTGGAAGCTTGGACGAGTTCTCTCCGTTTCACCTGGTACTGATGGAATAGTACGGGTCGTGCACCTGAAGACCGCAAGTGGACACCTCTCTCGTCCTGTGACAAAGGTGTCTGTCCTTCCTATGGAATAGTGAAGAGGAGTTACCACCCCCCTTTTTTATTGATTTTCTCATTTTTTGTGTTGTTTTCAGAACCCAGGGGTTCAGGGGGGGCCGGTATGTTAAATATTTAGTAATTCAACTAAGGACATTTATTAAAATATTTATTTAATAACATATGAACTATATACAGTCAAATATAAACAATTAATCAAGTAGTATTAACATTCAAGTCAAGTTTTTAGTTCAGTTATTGAAAGGATACAACAGCTGATATGATGACATCACTGTCCAAAGTTCACTACAGCACTTCGTACTAGTCAGTTCAGTTTAGACTCACCTCTCTCACAGTACACAGTGCTTACCTTTTGGTTTAGTTCATATTAAATATTTTAATCTCTCTTTCTCTCTTACCGCTCCAAGTGCATTATTTCATCATTTCTCATTTAAATATGGATTCCAAATTTATAGTACCAAGTGTCAAGCTAGGATCCAAGAAGATATTTTTATTTAAAGTAAATGTGTTGTAAATTTTCGTGTACAGTCCAGAATATTCATGAGTAGTGAATTGCTTTCTTTTTATTAATGAAGAAGAGTTTTAATTTAAATCAGTGAAGAATTGCATACTACACAACAATAGTCATTACTCAACATCATCTTTCATCTGTGGTCCTTCGATTCTCGTCACTCTGGCCAGAGCCATCGCTTCTCTGCTCATCTTGTTCCTGTTCTACCAAAACCCTAATGGATCTTCAGTTTTAGGATCTAAAGGTATTTCTCACAATTTTGCCTCTTAATACCATATTTAACAGTCATAA